TTTTAGTGATGAACTTAATTTAAAAGTAATTAAACCTAGATTACAAAAATGAGCGATACCATCCATATTTAATGACATTCAAGGTAAGCATTAATGTAAATTATACATTCAATTTTAACACGTATGTAAAGGTGGTTCCAACAGAAGCTACCTAGAAGTTAGTGAAAGCCACTGTCAGGTATTGGTTTTTACCCCACTCGTTGGCCAAAGTTACATTTTACTTAGGTACTCTGCCACTCTGGTTTACTAATATTAGTATTTAAATTAAAATTTACATATTTTTCCAAGGTGAACATTCCATCTTAGACACAGTCGAAAATTCTAATGATTCTGAATTGGAATCAAGCTCTTACACTGTACCTCATAGGCCAAATTGTAGGCAAAAATTAAAGTGGCCAGAAGCTACTGACTCAGTACTTGATTCCAAACTGACAAGTCCAATTGTTATTGATATTAATCAGGTAGGTACATATTACATATTATATACATTGAACAATAACTGAATTAATATTATTAATACAAATTACAAATACATTTTTTTTTTATCAGGATAAAATTTGCAATGAAATAAAATCATTTAGTACATTGGTTAATACTATTTCTTCTATACTATTGCCTGTTAATTGGAATAGTATTTATGATGATTATGGGATAAGTTTTTTTATAGCTGAAAATATTAATGGAGAACAGATTAAAGCTATTATTACTAAACAGTTAATATTGACAGTAGTTGGAAGTATAAATTGTTATGTTATGAATAATAAATTTGATTTAGAGCATTTGGGAATTAGTAACATGTGTTATCCTTTTTCTTTAAATTGGCTTAATGATGCAATTCAAGTTTTAAATGACCAACATATTTGTACTGCTGGACCTTCTCCAATTAATTTTCCCGATAATTATTGTTGAACATTTTGCTTAATTAAGTTACATACTTACTTAATTATTTATTTCTCAAATATAAGTATACTTATTTAACAGCTTATATCAAATTAATTTTTATAATTTTTTTTTTAAATATTTAGGAATACCTCAAACAGTGTGTGTTAGACATAACCAATAAGTGGCGCCATATAAAATGTCCCATACTTGTGTCATCTAAAGTATGCAATTTTTGTAATCGTTTATATAACAGTTTTAGAGTTTATAAAAAAAGGTATTCACTTGGTCAGAAAAAAACATATTGCTTCTTGCCTACCACCCAATCGCAAAAACCGCTTCTCTAAAATCAAAAAAACCCAACACACCATGAAAAAATCAATTATCAGGTTATAGCAAAACAAATAAATTAATAGGTACCTAAAACCTATTTGAATTTTTGTATTTATTTTTTTTTTTAAATTTTAGAATGAAATCAAAAATTAATAATTTGCAACAAAAACTATCAAATCTTCAGGATTCAATGAAAAACTTATCTGCAACTACAGTTTCAAATATGTTAGAGAATTCTACTTTAAATGAATCTCAGAAAACTGTTATTAATGAAATTATTAATGCTAGTAAAGTTAAACCAAAAGGTCGAAGGTATTCTGACAACTGGATTTTGCTTTGTATTATTTTGAATATTAGGTAAGTAATTTATTATTAGTAATGAATAATTAGATATTCGTGTAAATATATTTTATATTTTCAGGTCATCTAGAGAGTATACATTTTTAAGGAAACAATATATATTACCACTCCCAGCTCCAAAAACTATTCGACGTTATCTGTCATTAATTCAAACAAAATGTGGCTTTGATGAAAAATTTTTCAGTTTATTAAAGAAAAATTTTGAATTACTCAATACACAGGAACGACATGGAGTATTAGTATTTGACGAAATTTTTTTAAGAGAAAGCATATCTGTTAATACTAAGAATCTATCGTATACTGGTCTTGAAGATTTTGGAGATGGGAAACAATGCAATGAAAAGGCTGACCAGGGCTTAGTTTTCATGTTTAGGAGTTTAGCTTCCAACTATTCACAACCTATTGCTGTGTTTGCTGTAAAAGGAAGTGTGAAAGGTAAAATAATAATTATTTTATTTCAGACTCTATGTGTAAATACTATAAGTTAAGTTCTGTCTGTTATTTGTTGAGTTATTATTTTATTCCTTTGATTATTTAATAGGCATTGTACTAGTTCAACTTATTTTAAAAGCTATATCAATGTTAGAAAACATAGGAGCTAAAGTTGATGGGATTGTTTCTGATGGAGCGGCGACAAATCGCAAAGTGTGGAAAGAATTAGGTGTTGGTGGTTTGAAAAATAATGTTGTAAATAGTTTTACCCACCCAATGGATACAACAAGAAAAATTTATTTATTTTCTGATGCACCTCACCTCATAAAAACTGTTAGAAATAGATTATTTAATGTTAAATTTTTAAATGTAATTATTTAATTTTTTAATGTTTATTGATATTTTTGTTACAAATTTTATTAGAATTTTTTTATCTTTGTATAGACTTCACCTGAAAAAAAATGTATAAGTTGGTGGCATTATGTTGAAGTTTTCAACAATGACGCAAATAATATTCTCCGGGTATGTCCCAAAATCACTAATAGACATTTACATTTGGATACAATGGCTAAAATGAATGTTAAACTGGCTACACAAGTATAATTTTGTTTTATTTTAAATCAGATACTTAAATAGTAGGTGTCTACATAAGTAGGTATGTTAATTTACCAATTCAACATCAACAAAACCAACCCACCTTTTTAAATTTAAATTTGAAACCCAATAGTTGAATTATAAACAAATATAATATCTCTATAAACTAATAATTTATTATTTAAAATGTTTGTGTACATTTTTGGTTTTAAGTCAGTCGATGGCTGATGGAATCCAATTTTATAGGCAAAATTGATGCATTGCACTTGGTGGGAGTGAAGAAACTCAAGATTTCACTAGCCGCTTTAATAAATGTTTTGATGCCTTAAATAGGAATTATGCAGCTGAAGGAATCAGAAAAGACAGTTTAGATTTTAAAGTAATTTTATTTTATTTTATTTTATTCACACTGATTCATTTCACTTTTAGTCATAATTTGAACAACATAAATTATATTTATTTAATCTTTGCATATAATTTTGTTGACCTAAAAGATAATGTTAGACACTCTAGAATACATTGATAATTGGGAACAGAATTTAATTGATGGTAAAATAAGTAAAGAGGATTTTCTAACACCCAACACTGCCGAGGGTTTAAGAGTAACATTACGGTCGACTATTGATTTGTGTAACTATTTACTTAATGATTGTGGTTTTCATTATGTGCTCACTAGTAAAATGAACCAAGATGCTTTAGAGGTAAATAACATTTGGTATATGTCCCTGTCTTTTAATACTTGTAGTGATGATATAATATACATTTTAATTTAAATCACAGTTATTCTTTGGGACTGTTCGTCAGTCAACTGGTCCTAATGACCACCCTGCAACGCCAACTTTCCTTCAAATGTACAAACTGTTATCACTTATCAATATATTCAGTTATAAAACCACCAAAGACAGGTAATTGCCAAGTACTGAATTCAGAGGTTCCGAAAATATCAATTGATGACATTAAAAATATCTATGATACTGATGGTAATATAAGTATTTATGATGATTATCATTAACATTTTTCTAATTTGTCTTAATTCTTTAGATGTAAGTGAAAGAGTTAAGAATATTGAAGCACTAAAATTAAAGTTAAGTAATTGCATGGACAATGAAGATTGGGAAGCTGATTCTATTTTTGAAGACCATAATTATTTTAAATCGCCAACAGTTGATTATGTAGTATACTATGTCTGTGGTTATTTAATAAGGCAACTTTCTAAACGTTATGTTTGTGAAAGATGTTTAGCATTTCTTAAAAATACATCTTCTACATCTTCTAATAAATCAGTAGCTTCACTTACCAACATTAAATCTAGAGGTTATTTAATACACCCTAATTTTAACTTTTTCAATATCATTAAAACAATAGACAATTCTTTTGAAAGATTTTGTGAAGATGTAGATGTATTTAATTTAACAGTGAATGATGTTTTAAAAACTTCCATTTCTTTTCCTTGTACTGAACATAAAATTGAAGTTATGTCAGATATTTTACCATACTACATTACTATGCGTATGCGTCAGTACTGTTATTTTAAAAATATGGAACCTGCTAAAAGAAGTTGTAAAAAAAAAACTTTCTAAACTAGTAAACACTTAATTATGGAATAATTAAACGACCTTTACTAATAATAAAAAAAATATTATAAACGATCATGTATTTTTTTTTTAAACTTAATAAAAGTTGTGTATAAATAGTTGTGCTAGCACCAATCTTTATATTCGTTTTACTGTTAGTATGAATTAGAGGTCTCGATTACACGTGTAATGAACTACACGGGTACCCGTGTTTTTACACAAGACGGGGTTAAGGCCCGTGTAATAAAAATACCCGTGTATACCCGTGTATTTAAATACCCGTGTATCTAAATACCCGTGATCTTGAATACTCTTATATTTAAATAAAATCATATTTTACTATTTTGCAGTTCTGACTTACGATTGCTCCACTTCCTGAATTCAATATGATAGAACACATCATATTATATTTTGTTCACTACCTCTTAGTATTTTGCGTCATAACATTTATCAATAATATTAATAAATTATAATAAGTAAATAAATGTGTATATGTAATTGATGTTATTTACGTATAATTGATAGTGAAAAGTATTTGTATTTTCACACATTATAATATTTTAAATTTCGTTTTTACAAAAAAAGTTGTATTTGCATGATTATTAAATAACAAAATAACAATAAACATGTATATAAATATATTAATAAATTAATAAATTCTAATAATAACAGTTTTAACAGTAATAACAATAATAATATAGTATAAAATAAATACAAAATAATAATAACAATATTAAATTAATCAACGACCAGTAGACGGTAACCCATATACTTATACAAAAGTTAACAAATACAATATAACAAAGCAATCACTTACAATCTATGAAGTTATAATAATTGTTTGTTCTGGTGAAGAAAAATCAGCATGTTTACGGTCTCGGGCGCCAAACAACTTCTCTTGGCCGTCACTATGTTTCCAGCGGTTGAGAAACATCTTTCAGAACTAACTGACGTTGCTGGTATCCCTAAATATTTCGTTGCCAGAGCAACAATTAGTGGATATTTTGATGCACGCGTCTTCCACCATTCTAGTGCATCAAAATCAAATTTTAATTGTGGTTCTGCCAAGTAATGTTGATACTGAATGTCATAATCAGCTGTATTACAATTTACTTCATCACCGAACAGAAATTCAAGAGCACCGTGATGTTTAGTGACAAGTGTTTCAATTTGCACATCGCAATTAATTTCAGCTATTTCTTTTATCAAATTTTTAACCCGTGTCCGAATTTCTTCTCTTGCATCAACCGTTTCATGCTCTAAGTCCTTGAATCTTGGGTCGAGGAAAGACGCTATTTGCCTAGCAGACACGACACTAGAAGGACACCACAATAATTTAAAACGATCTGATAGTTCCCTAATTACAGTAGTTTTAAAATGTTCAGTTATTTCATCATCACTTACATTATTCTTTAAATGCTTTTCTATAACTGCGTTTATAAGAGGCCTAACCATTGAAATAGAGCAATATTTTTCGCCACAAAAAACCGTGGTCATAATTTGTAGAGGTTTAAGCAATTTAATTAACGTTTCTACATCTGTCCATTGGTGCTCTGTCACTTCAAATTTGTGTGCCATTGCTGCTGTAGTCAACGAACGATCAGCAAGAACATTTGAAATTGGGCACCTATTTTTATAAAGTCGATCAAGCATCATATATATAGAGTTCCATCTGGTTTTACAGCTTTGAATTAAGCTTTCTGTTGGTAAACCTAGTTGGTCTTGCTTATCTTTTAAATACTGACTAGCTAAATTCGAATGCTTAAAATGACAAACAATCTTACTGCATAATTGAATTAAGCTATCTATTTTATCATATTTTAGGCCATTATTGACAGCAAGTTGTAATGTATGTGCGGCACATGTTAAATCATCCTTTTCGGTAATATTATCCAGTAAATTAACAGCATTCAACACATTTTTCGCATTATCAGTCACAACTGCCATAATTTTTTGGTCGATTTCCCATTTATTAAAAATAATTTCTAATTGATTCGATAGATTTGAAGCTGTATGACGATCGTCTAATTTGTGAGTTGTCAGGGTATATGATTTTGGGCACCATTGATCATCAATAAAATGTGCAGTAACTGTTATGTACGATTCTTGAGCTATTGATGACCAACAGTCAGATGTACAACTTACACTCCTGGCATCATTAAGTTCTTTTTTTATTAGAACTTCAACCGACGATTTTAATCCTTTGAGTCTCTGTTTGATAGCACCTTCCTTGCATATTATATAATTTGGTTCTACTATGCTCATAAATTGTTTAAAACCGGAACTAGAACAAAAGGATAGAGGCATTTGATTGATTGCGATCATTTTAGCTAACGCCTTATGGATTTGTTCTGTTCTTTCAGAACTACAACTTCGGTTTATTTCAAAGTTCTTATCAACATAAGTTCTACGTCGTTTTCGGGGTTGTGGTCCACAAAATTCTGATGATGAGGATGAACAATTAGTATTTAAATTATTTGAGGATGACGATGAACACTGTGTTACACTATCAACTGTATTACACTCTTCAACTTCATCATGAGGATTATCATCACTAGGAAATAAATTAAAGTACAACAATAATAATTACAATTACTTGAATCAATTTTATAGGAATAGTAAATGGATGATAAGATTTATACATTATGAAAAGCGTAAAATATATTATATTATAACTTATATATGTATTAATCATTATTATTGTTAACGTTATAGTAAATATTGTTAGGGCTAGTCCAATGTATGTGGTGTGAAAAATATACAAATCATATTATGTCAATGTCATCATATGTGTTGTCCAAATTTGCAACTTCGAGTAACCTACTCCTGATCTTTACCACTACGGTGCAACGTTGCTTGAATATGATAATATATAAAATTAAGCTTTTCAAGAAAAAATAAAAAGCGGGTAAGTAAGTGGATGTCACTCTGCTGTACAGTATAGTTTACAAGTGGTTTACTGTAATGGATGGTATTAAATTCCATTCATTATGGAATAATGATATAATATCATTGTATACGAAAAACGATTCTGGTCGGAGACGAGTTGTCAGTATAGGCTATTTTATACAATATTAATTAATTATTTTTTAAAAAATATTTAGGTATCTATAAAATAAATTTCAAATTAATAAAATTAGATTCATTATGTTACGTGGAACCTTGTTTCAAATTTTCAATTCTTAGCTATAAAAGCTAAACATTTTATACATTTTTAATAACTTAAAAATTTGAAATTTTCAATTAAACAAATTTCGTCAAAATTTTAACTTTAAATGGTTATAAAAAAAAATCCTGCCTATGTATTTTTAATATTTTCTATCTGCTATTATATAAACTTATGGGGAACCTTGTATTAAATTTTCAAGTTTTTTGACCCAACGAATAAAATTTTATTGTCATTTATAAAAAAAAACTAAAAATGATTCAAAATTTCAAATGTCTATAAACAACTTGAAAAGATTTGAAAATGTTTGAAAATTTTATCATGTATAGGAAAAGCCAGTATAAACATTCTGTGAAATGTTTCTACGGTAATTAGTTTTAGAGTTACACCAATATCTAAAATCGAATATACTAGATTTATCTAGAGATTTAATAAGTACAGATACTATACATAGGCGTAACTTAAATGTGTGCATTATTTTATTATGTTGGTACTAAAAGTTAGTAAGCAATAAATCTATAATTTTGTATTATATATATTTGATGAAACAATTAATTTTATCATTATGTTACTAGAGCTTTTCAAATCGTCAATCCCATCCATGTTTTATTTGAATTATTACAAATTAATTACATACCTTGGATTTTGAGTATTTCTGCTTATATTGTGTATCAGTTTTAAATGTCTGCCGAATGATCCCGTTGATCCACCAGCACAACTAAACACTTTATTTGAATTATCGTCACACAGGTCACAAAAAGCTTTATCGCCTTGGCGTTTGCCGTATTGCCATACCCAACTTTTATGACGGTAACTCATTTTTCGAAGGAAAAATATTTAATATGTATAATATAAGTGTCAAGTATAAGTGAAACTACACTTCACATAGCAATAGTGAATAGAGGCACAATGAGGTATGGAAAAATTTTTAAATAACCAACAATTTTTAGATTTAGATACGAGGCATACCTACGTAAAATGCAATGCAATAAAATTGGCGATAAGATAGTTTTGCGATTGTTTATGCTTTAATCTTAAAACCAGTTTAAATATTACTATTTTATATATTATTACACTTATAGTTTATCTTGTACCTACATAATATTATACGATAAACGAATGCATCTTACTAAGCATAACTAAAAACTATCCATAACATCGCTAAATAATAAAAGATAGGTAGGTATTTTTAAAAACTATACAATTTTTATTATTAATTAATAACCAATTAAAAATTATTGGATTTGGTTATAGGTACACGGGTAATGATAAATAAATACACGGGTATGCACGGGTATTATACACGGGTATTAAATACACGGGCTTTAATATATTTTTTCCCGCGTATCCGGGCTCCGTGTACCCGTGTATTCTAATACCCGTTCACAACCACGACCTCTAGTATGAATTGACCGCTAGATGGCGCTAGAACCGATATAAGGCACTTGGTGACACTATCTCATACACGGTCTTAGAAGATCCGGGTCAAGGTCCGACTACTCTACCTTAACAGTGTTCCGCTTAATTGTGCAAATATATTTAAAATGTTGCCGCTGTAAAATTGAGCGCTGCCAGTTATACGTATTTAAGGTTAAGTAAAAATCACAGTGTAGTAAACCGACGGAGTCGATTCACTATTTTTTTACTTTATTACATTAAAGTCACGGCCTTCACATTTTTAATATGTTATTTCGGATTCTCGGAACTATCAATGCAAGGCATATGGTCTACACAAACACTATTGCGTTTTACGAGTTCCAAGAATTAAAGACGTGAGAAGAACCAGTCAAAATGATATTGCAAATTTTTATTACCTTTTGGTCGCAAACTACTTTTCGGCAGCTACAATAACAACAAGCTACCGACTCGCCTTTTTGTCCACCTCCTAGTCTCTACCGTGTATAACAGGGAGTACAGAGAACCATATAAATATGAGACTCTGTACACCTCAGAATCAGAATTAGTCTCACATCCCTACATGTAGTACTTACCTGGTCGTAGAGTCCGCGCACTCTACATCGCCGCCAGACTAAGTACATTCCCAGTAACTACAAGTAGACTTAACTAGTTCTCGGGCAGTTACTTAACGTGCTGTCCACAAATTTTTATAACATTTTGTAACAATTATTTTATTTTATTTTATAACAAGTTTAACTCAATCATAATAAATACTTCATTTAACATTGCGCCTTTGTCTCTCTTCGAAAAACCTTATTCCTTTTGATCAACCTGGTCCAACTACAGACGTCGGTCACTCAAATATAAGCGTTAGTGAGGGATCACTACAACAGGAATCTGAAAAACTCCGGCAGGCGGCAGTTTCAAAAAGTTATCGAGAAAATGAGATATAGACCTTGAAGGTCCTTTACATCTTTACTAATGATTAAAGAAAACGATTAAAATTACTCTTTGGTATAATGTTTTTTACTTTTTTAATCAGTTTTATAAATACATTATTGTTATATTTTACAAAACTTTACAATTTTTTTTATTTCTGTTTGCCTTATTCTGTTTTTTGTTTTCTTGGAAGGCAAATTGTCTCGTGCGCATTCTAACATAATACATAATGGTAAATGCTATTATCTGTTCACCGTGTATTGCACATGGAAAACTGACCGGTGTAACTTTCATTAAATCATCTGTAATATGGTCCAAAACGTTTGCCGATGTACCTACAGTATTTGCTAAAACTTTCTTCGACTTTTTTTATAAAATTAAAGAAGCATAATATGTTAGGGTGTATTAATCCACCTCTTGTTTTCATGTTCACCAAAGTAGCAGGCAACTGCTGAGAATATATTTCTGATACAACAAAAGAAGATTTACAGACATCACAGTCTTTGGTATATTTCAGCAATTGCTTTGATAAATATCCTATAAAATGAAAAATGTACATAGGTACTTATGTTGTGCTCTTTTAGGGAGTGGCCAATACAAACAACTAACAAGCATAAACAATTATACATTTGTACCAATACTTATACATACCAGTCAAATAGTATATTAAACAGTCTACAACCTCAGCTTTTGCATAATCGTGTTCGACTACATCGGTGAACTCCCATTCTTCTTGTTCTATTATTATATTTAATTTATTTTTCAAATTTTCTAATAAGTTTGACTTTTCAGGATGATAAATATTCTTCAAATCTGAAATGGAAATTAATGGAGTTAATGGAGAATCATCATTTATGGTGCAATTTCCACTTTTGGGTGGTTTCAGTATACTGTAAGTTGATAATAACTTGTACAGTTGTAGAAATGTTGGCACTGATGGGTGATCGTTGGATCCCGCAGCTTGGCGAAAAACATCTAGGTAAAATTAATAATTTGATTGTTTATAATTTTCATACAATTATTTTTTCTGTTCATAGTTCTAATTTATCCTGGTTTATCTTTCCAGTTAATAAATATTTGAAATTCCAACAAGAATTCAAGTATTTGGATAGATCAAGTGTAGACTGGATTGTCACTCTCAGACCACAAGCAGTACTGTCTGTTAGGAATTCAGATTTTTTTATGTGGCCATCATCATATTGTTTTTCCCAATCATTCATCCAAATTAAAAATGATTGAAGAAACTGTAAGTTCAAAAATAAATAAATTATAGTAAAAATAAAATAAAATTTTTTTAAAAATGAAACCGATTATAAATAAATAAACAATAATATTGTTGAAATATACAATTAATATGTAGTATATGTAGTCAGCCTTGACACGTGTGTACAATATAGTAACTAGTTATGTACGAGCATAAGACTCACTCTCTTTACGGATGTAACATGACCTCGGGCCATATAGGGCCTTTGATATATGTAATATTCACTTGCACAGGCGTCGTTGTACAGAGCGTATACGATGTGTGTGTACTGTCACAGTTTAATTGTCCAGTTGTACGTTATTATATATTATACTTATACATAATCATATTGTCGTGTTATTACTTATTATATTAATGCTAACATCATTAGTCCGTCAAGCTTCACTTTCAACAGGTTATGGGCCCAGTCAATAACCAAGACATACAGTCTAGTGGATTCGTGATCGAAGTATTTTTATATTTGTATTAACGCAGAAAACTACAACCAGTCGGAGATATCCTGGATTTCGGAAAACGGCGGAACAGTGTATATAGGTAAAGTTTTGTTATAAATTGTTA